TCCCTTGCAGAGAAAAATAGACCCCAAGACAAGACGTTGCTTTTTCACTGGATATCCAGATCGCACTAAAAGATACAGGTTCTTCTATTCTGGTAAGGAGAGAAAAATAATATAGTCCATGAATGCCAAGTTCTTGGAGCTTGAATAGCTGATCATGTTGAAATATTCAAAGAGACTAATGTTTTGTTACCTAAGACTATTGCCTTGCCACTACCTGTTGTTGCAATTGGCATCCCAACAATTGTTCCAAATGAGGCTGAGGTTCAGAATGTTCTAATTGAAAATTAAAATTTGATTTAAGATGTAGCTGCTCCTCAGATTAATAATGTGTGTGATCCTCCTGTTGCAGTGGATATTCTACAGCCTATTTAGCCAATAGTGCAAATTCTTTTGAGAAGATCAACAAGAGAGAGAAGATCTGCTATTGGTAATGATTTTGTAGTATATCTTAGTAAGGATGCATACGACATTGGAGATGTTGTTGACCCAAAGAATTATCAAGAAGCTATATCTTATCTGCAATCTGAGATGTAGAAGCATGCGATGATTGAAGAAATACAATCCATGTTAGTAAATAATGTATGGGAGCTTGTTGAGTTGCCTAAGAATTGTAAGGCAATTGGTTGTAAATGGGTATTCAAGATGAAGAAGGACTCAAATGGTAAGATTGAAAGATTCAAAGCAAGACTGGTGGTCAAGGGTTTCACACAAAAGGAGGGAATTGACTTTAAAGAAACTTTTTTGCCTGTGTCAAGCAAGGACTCCTTCAAGATCATCATGGCACTAGTTGCTCACTTTGATTTAAAGTTGCATCAAATGGATGTGAAGACTGCTTTTTCTGAATGGTGAATTGAATGACACATTATACATGCAACAACCAGAGGGTTTCCACATTAATGATGGTAAGAACTTGGTATGTTGACTCAAAAGATCAATCTATGGTTTAAACAAGCCTCTAGACAATGGTATCTGAAATTTGATGAAGTGGTGACTTCTATGGGGTTTGAGAAGAATAAAATTGATCATTGTATATACCTCAAGATCAGTATGAGCAAATTTATCTTCCTCGTGCTTTATGTGGATGATATATTATTGGCCTGTAATGATTTAGGCATGCTACATGAGACAAAATGGATGTTGACCTGATTCTTTGACATGAAGGATTTGGGTGAGGCTTCTTTTGTATTGGGAATTGAGATTCACAGAAATAGATCACAACGTACACTTAGTTATATCAAAAGGCTTACATTGATAGAGTCTTAGAGAGATTCAACATGCAGAACTGCAAATCAGGAGATGTTCCAGTTGTTAAAGGTGATAGGTTCAACATAGATCAATGTCCTAAGAATGAGATTGAGCGAGCAGAAATGAATGACAGACCTTTCACAAGTGCATTGGGAAGTCTCATGTATACTCAAGTATGCACTAGACCTGACATCGCTTTTATTGTTGGTATTCTAGGTAGATATCAGTCAAATCCTAGAAGTGATCACTGGATAGCTGCTAAGAAAGTAATGAGATACTTGAAGAAGACAAAAGAGTATATGCTTGTATATAACAGAGTAGACAACCTTGAGATTGTGGGATACACAGATTCAGATATTGGCAGGTGCCCTGATGATAAAAAAATCGACTTCAAGATATGTTTTTATGATGGCTGGAGGTGCGATATCCTGGAGGAGCAAGAAACAAACTCTCGTTGCCTCTTCTACCATGCAAGTAGAGTTCATTGCTTGCTATGAAAAGCTGCTACTCATGCTATTTGGTTGAGAAATCTAGTAACAGGACTTCGTATTATGGATACCATTGCTGCACCACTAAAGATTTTTTGTGACAACAGAGCTGCAGTATTTTATACAAAGAATAACAAGATTTCTAGTGGATCTAAGAATTTGGAGTTGAAGTACTTGACTATCAGAGACCTTGTGAAAGATGGTTACATTGTGATAAAGCACATTGACACAGATTCCATGTTAGCTAACCCCTTGACCAAGGGTCTTAGGCCTATTATTTTCAAAAAGCATGTTGAAAACTGGGCATTATAAGTTTTTTTTATGTGTTTGGTTAAGTGGGAGTTTCTTTTCAGTTTTATGTCATTTCACGTTTATTGAATTCTTGTTTTAGACCTTCGTAAATGTTGTGTTGATGACATTTTGCATTTGATTTGATGAATGAGTAATGAAATGTTTTTATATATATGTATCAAATGTGAATTATTAAACTCGGCGTCGTTGGGACTACTATGTCGGTGGTCGATGCTAGTTGGAGCTGAGGCATAATAATTCGTAATGAAATATATAATTTCTTTAGCTTTTAAGTATTTGAGAGAAATTAGGGACTGGTGTAGAAAATGATAGTATGACTGTTTGATCACATGGCATATCATTTTCTCACCACACTCCACACAAATGACTAGTCAATGAAGTCAGTAGTATTTGTAACTATAGAAGGAGTTGTATCATTAAAGGATGCAATTGCCGTCATGATTCGATATTGCATGATTTTGTTGGATGGAGTCTCAATTAAATGTTATATCTTGAGATCATATGTTTGTGGGCACAACATGTTATTAGCTTGAGAGTCATTTTTTTAAAAAAAAAAAATCAAAAATTATGAACTGTACAATTGATTTTGCCCGAGTGAAAGAATGTTAGAATTTCTTATAAAATTTATTATGGGATATAATCAATTGTAATTTTTTATTTTGTCAAAAAAAGGCTAATATTAAGATTCATTTGATGATATTTAAGTCTGCTAATAATGTGATCAATTATTTGGGCTTTAGACACTTAATGTTGATCTAGAGTGGAATTCAGTGTAAGCCTAACCTCTAGGTCCATAATGGAAAGTGCGTAAGGTTAATAAATATAGTGGCTAAGTCCCTTTTGTCATCATGGTAACACATTCTATTACTATCTAGGTTTGCCCCATTGAGAACTTAGGATTAGAAAAGTGTGATTAAACAAAAGAAGTTTTTGGCTTCTCGCTAGAAAGGAATCACATCTTAAGTAAGTCCACGCACAATCAATGATGTCTACAACAAGTAAGTCACTCTAGAAATTACTCTTCAATTGATATTCTAAATTCATGTAATTGGATCCTATTAAATTTGTTCTTACAAGAAAGACACAATTGGATCAAATAGAAGACGGAGGAATGCTCACTTAAACTCCATGAAACCATGGACAAGAACAAAACAATACTGAAAGCTAGAAATGCTCTGAAAGTCTATCATCGATTCTGAAGAAGTTGTTCTTTTTTAGTTTTCATTTTAATTTCAATTATGAAGTTAGTTGTTCATTTCTAGCCTTTTCACTTCAATTTCAATTCTGAAGTTTGCTGTTTTTTTTAATTTTCATTTTAATTTCAATTCTGAAGGTCAGTTTGTTTTTTTTTTTTTTTATCAATTCTGCGAAGAATGAACCATGTTCTCTTTTTTTTGGGATGAATGAACCTTGTTTTCCTGTCTATAATTTTTGTTTTAGTTAGACTTCGCTGTAACTCTACTTTCTATCTTCTGTGATTTACAATTATTTACTTGGAAAACATAGTTTCACCTGTGCCTCGGTTATTTCACTGTCCTATATTCCTATTGCTTTGGAAAAATGTCCCACTGAGTCAATTGGAGAATGACTTTGTGCATTCTCTTCGTGACGTGACGATCAAAACTACTAAAATGGCAGTGCTGATGCCGTTTTTGTTGTTGTTTTTGGTTAATCTTTATTTGTGGTTGTAAATTGTTGTTACTTGTAGGTTGCTGAAGGGGTTGAGACAGAGGCTATTCGGGCCATTGCCGTGGTATCCTGGGAATTTTGCTTGGCATTCTAATTTTTCTCGGATGCAGCTTAAGAAGAAACACTTGAGAGGTGAATACACATTCTGATGATCTATGAGTTGCATTTGATTGCTTGGCTTGATAGAGCCATCAAATATGTATGTACGCGTATTAGGATTTTAAGTTTGGACGTCACTACATTTATGACACGAATGAATGTTTCCTTTCCTAAATTCATATCACTGAATATTTCATAATTATTTATATGAATGAAATAATTAAGAAATGGTCAGTGTATCACTGAATATTCTGTCCCCTTCATATTCCCTTCCTAAATTAATGTTGATATGGACCTAACACACCAAACAGGTCAATTGTCCAATAAAAAAAAGATGCTTAGGTTTTTTTCATGATAGGTGATTTATGGGATATGAGCTCCATCATAGGTATTTTATTTTCTTTTCTCTCTCATGAACATTTGGTTCTCATCACTAAGCAATATTGTTAGGGCCTCTTTTATAAGCTATCTTTTTTCTTCTTTTTTCAAATTATTTGAACCTTTATTTGATTTTATAGTTTTGCTATTCAATGGTTGTGATGTGATGGAACAAAGTTGACAAGTTTGATGAAATTTGGAAAGATATAATACTTTGCACATGATCATATTAGATGGACAGAATAGAATCACCAGGTGCAGAGTATGTCTGGTGACCGCAAGAATCAAGATATAGAAGTTCAGAAACTTGAGTATGCTATTTGCTCACTGTAACACTTTTTTTTAAAAATTTGGGAAATAGGATGACAGGGAGCTAATTACAATGCTGGCGTAAATTTATTGAATGATGTATCCTAAATATAAATCTGTTTATGTATTAACTTGTATGAAGATGCATTACTAGAAACACCGTCCTTATGCATTTACATTTTTCATTTTTCATTATCTTATTATATGATATTATTGGTGGTTACATGGTACGCTGAAGTTTTACATGTTTTTCCCCTTTAGAAAAGTATTTAGGGATAAAGCAATTCCCATTTCTAAAATTAAAGAATATTTAACTTAACTACATTTAGTTCTTAGTTGTTGGTCTTATGACTCTCAGAACAGTGACTGGTGCACACTTATTGACATATTTATCAGAATGCATGAACATGCTACTGCCGAACAATGAATTGATTGAAATGGTATGTCAATTGCTGCCACTGATTATGTTTGGTCTTGCGGGTTCCATGAATTCTTAAAGCTAGAAAATGAGATTGGAAATATCACAAGACAGGAAGCTGTCAGTATGGTGGGTCAAATTACATAGTCTTTTAAACTTCGTGATCATACAAAAATATTATTTTCTTTTCTTTTTGAATGGTCCAGTGCCTGTTGGTTACTACTTGTTCTAACATTTCAATAACTTAACTTATGTCACTCTAATGGTTGTATGTGACATAGGTTCCTCCCCTCTTCTTGGATGTGCATCGAGATCATTTTGTGCTTGATAGTAAGCAAATTCTAATGCATAAAGTACTTTTTGCTGTTTTACCAGCCCTTATTCTATTTGCTTGATTTGGAATTCTAACTTCAGTGTTTGTGACTAATTTTCTTCGTCTTGCCTTTTTCAGTGTGTGCTGCACCAGGTTCAAAAACATTCCAATTGCTTGAGATTATACACCAGTCAACCAAAGCAGGATCATTACCAGATGGAATGGTTTGACTCACTTTAATTACAAAAGTGTTGGTCACTTTTTCTTTTCCCTTTATTCATTGTATTTATCATGTATTGGTGGTTAGAATCATTTTGATCTTCTGAATTGAATGATTTTTTAAATTTGACCTGTAATGACTGGGCAGGCTACATAGGCAATATTTGTCTATTAATCTTTTTTATGATTAGGTTGTTGCAAAAAAAAGGTTAATCTATGACTTTAAAAAAATACTAGTTACATGTGGCATTTATTTATTTTTGTTTGGGTAAGGTATATTTAATTTTAAATTTATAAGATTTGATTAATTTATGAGATGAATATTATGATATTTTGAATCAATTTTTAAATACTTATTTTTTTTTCTTTATTTTTCTTAAAAAAATAAAATAAAGACCTAACGATCACTTTAACTTAAGTAAATTTTAAATTTAGAATTAAATTAGTTGAATGATAAATAAATGTTAAAACATTAAATTTCTTTTTCATTCAAACTAATCCAGTTCATAGATGAACACTTTTAAAGTTATATCAATAGCACGTGGACTCCAATTGTTAGTATTCTTCTAGCGCTTGTCTTTAAAATTTAAGAATTTGATTCAAACAATTGTCTGTGTCACTCAACTTGTGTTAAAAATTGTGAATAATATATATATATATATATATATATATATATATATATATATAACACATTTTTTAAAGATTATTTTAATTTTTAAAAAGTTGACCAATCATAAAAAACAATAAAAAATGTGTTTTAAAAAACAATTGTTAACATTGATCTTTTGCGTAATTCTTTATTATTGATTTTTATTTTAAAATTGATTTTGACTCTGAAAAATGAAAAAATAACACACACAATCCATTTACCGGTCTACGATTACTATATTAGTTTTAGAAGAAGTTACTCATCAAACTGTTAATATTTTCCCTTCTACATTTTTTTATCTGCAATTCAGAAAAAAAATAAAAAAAATTCAACGTCAGCATCGATTGCATAAGAATTTACTATCAAGGCAATGCAAAATCCTATTACCGTTGACTTTTAAGTTTTATGCTTCATAATATAATGTTGCAGAAAGAGTGCAGGCACTTGACTCTTTCTGTTGATTTAACGTATTCGAAGACCAAGTTTTTGTCAGATTGAGCCAAAGTGTATAACCAAGAATACACATTCTCTTCTTCCTCAGTTCGCGAGCCCTCATCAACTTTCCCCACAATTGAGCTAAACCCACATAAATAAAAAGCACCAAAAAAAGGTACCTTTATGACAGTAACTGCAAAAGGAAGATGTGATAATAATATTACATATAAAGCATTCTTACTTGAAAATATGAGGCGCCACGATAATTCTAAGACTGAAGAGGGGCATCGATCTTTGTGGGTATCTGGTTTGTTTACAAGAGTTTGTCTTATGGTGTTGGAATAAGGAAACATGTAACTGTGATGGTTATTATTGGCGAAGAAGAAGGTGAAAATTTTGATTCTTCTCATAGGATCATTGAAATGACAAATACAAATGAGAGGAAGAGAAGGGGTGGAGTTGAGAAAAAAGAGAGAAGTATGTCATTTTGTTGAACTCAATGTTCGGAGATTTGAATAGAAGGTAGATACTGAAAGGAACTGTTACTTCCCTCTCATGCTTCTCCTCTAATTACCAATCACTCACAATAGTTAGGTGGGTACTTGCTTGACTAGTAAAAGAGACCTGTGTCCTGTTTAATTCATTTTTTTTCTTATTTTAATCAAAAAGCGATATAACATCTTTAATTAAACACGCAAGGAAAAAAAATTCAAATGTTAATCAATTAAGAAATAAAAATATAAATGAGTATGCCACTCTAAAATATTTATTATCACTTTCTTTAAATAATTTTTATGTGAAATACTTTTTCTTGTTTAAACAATTAATCATAATGTTTAAATAACAAAATCTTCTATGGAAGGTAACAAAAGATATGTAATTAAGAAAAGCAACAGATACTCTTAAAAATAATGTTATTAATTAATGTTTTACTTTAAATATATTCACAAAATTAAATAAGTAACTTATAGGTTGAATGACTTCTTGAATGATAAATGAGTCAAAGTCTAGTTATCATAAATTTTTCGACAAAATTAGAGAGAATTTTTTTAATTAATTTTCACTATTTATTGTTTTATTTTTTTTTTATTATTTTGTAATGCTAAAATCATCTTATATTTTTTTTATAAATTATAACTGATTGTTATTTTGTTTTTCATAAAAATAACCAATTTATAATACATATAAATTGCATAAGTAAATTTTAATCCAAAAATTCATGATGAAAAAAATTTAAAGTTAAGATTTTATATATTTAACTAAGTCTTGTTAGTAATTATCTGTTAATAATTACTGACAATTATGTAATCACATAAATCACTTTATAATTTGTTTTTATCAAAAATTGTGCTTTAAGAGTGTAATTTACTAAAAAAAAATTTAAATGTTACTTTACAACTATCATTTATTATAAAATTTAGGATTTGAATATGACAAATTTTATCTTAAGAGATATGTTGTGAGTTTAAAAATTTATTATAATAATTATTGATATTTTTAATTACATGAAATTTTCTAATTTTATATAATTTTAATTGAATTTTATTTATTACATTTTTACAAAATTTATAAATAAATATCATTTCAAAATACATTTATACAAAATTATAAATAAAACTTAAAAGACTTTGAATTTAGTAGCAAAAATTATAAAAAATTATCTTTAATAAAGTTTATCACCAACAATAATATGCAATGGAGTTTATCATTGTTGTTTAAGCTTTAATTGGAATCTAGAATCTAGAAAAGATCTAAATTATACTGTAATGAGAATGAATATTTTTTGGATTTTATGGGGAAGGTCATGGCCATAGGGACATGTAGGTCCTACAAATTCACACAAATTTATTTCTCCTATTGTCATCACATTGGGACCAACTCAGCTTGCATCATTTTCATTTCCTTGTACAAACCTCCATTGATATATTGGGGTTATTTGCGTCAAAAATATGTAGCCATACCTTTTGAAGATTCCAACAATAGTTCTTTATCACTTTTTCAGCAGAAAAAAAAACAATGTGTACGTCTGAGGGATACATTAGATGTGTGATAATATATAGATGGAGCTTGTCAATTTGGAATTCACTTTTCGGGGCCACAACAAGATTCATAGTTTAATAACTCGTTATATCACTTTAGAGTAGGTTCCAATCGTCACGTACTAGAATCTACATAGTTTTTATGGATTAAATAAATTCATTAGGATTAAAAACACAGCATATGAAGACACGTGACATTATTAAGATATGTAAGAACTGTAAAAAAGGGAGAATGAGTCAAAACATCAATAAATGGAGATGCGGGGTATCGATCCCCGTACCTCTCGCATGCTAAGCGAGCGCTCTACCATCTGAGCTACATCCCCATTTGGGTATGAAATAATAAAAATATTTGATGTACATTCTATACATAAAGTGTGATTAACTTAAATTTAAAATATAAATTCATATATGTACAAAAGTGTGTTTATTAATTCGAATCTAGTTGACCAAGAAAAAAAAAAAAAGTAATCATTCATAATTGCGCGTCCTTCTTTCACATGCAAGAATAATAATAAGACAACGTAATGTGACTATTGTGTCGATTTCATGGCGAGATATTATCAACAGAGGTTCTTAAGTGTACAATATGACGAACAAAATATCAAAATGATGCCCGTGAGATGCTTATAACTGAAAGAACAAGAAAAAAAAGTAGGTGCTGCATTATTATAGGTTACCTCTTATTTGTTCAAGGCTACGTACGTCTCCTAATTAAAATCAAAGGCTTGTCCCTGACATGACATTAAAAAGACTTGTTCCTGACAATTCGTTATTTATTCATCCGCACACCTAATGAATGAAAATCAAGTATAAATGTGTTCCAATACAATGCCTTTTGATATTTGATTTCTCAAATACAATACTATCAGAACAGTCCTCTTATTATTACTATTTTTATTATCAGATATGCTAGTTAGAGACTTAAAGCAAGAGGGTGATTTGCATAAATTAGTGTAAATTATATATATACAGTTATTCTAAAAATATTGGTAACATAGATGCATTTACTATTTTTAATAATACACGACTTCTATTCCTATTTATCCGTTCATGTAAAAGAAGACAATATTAATTAATATTTCTCTACTAATACTTGTTTGTTACATAAAATATTTATACTATTTGAGGAGTGAAATAAAAAAAAATATTATCAATAAAAGTTATACTGTCAAATTATCAATAAAATATTTTGTTGGTAATTTATTTACCAACAAAAAGAGAGAGAGAAAGAGAGAGAGAGAGAGAATTCGTTAAATGCAACATACTAATGTGGTTGAATAGGAATTCATTTTCATCTTAAATATGACAGACAACTTGTACCAAATGAGAAAAAAATTGGGAAACTGTCATTAAGTGAACTAATCGCTATTCATGAACGACATGATTGCAAGGATATCCATGTGTGATACCTTAGAAATGCGCCATTTGGTCCAATTGTGGAGTGGTAGAATAAAGGTAACATATGAACAATGGGTCATCTATCAACCATATCCTTGGCGTGTTTCAGCCTTTTAAGGGTAGTGATGTTGAAACAAAGGGAGCGAGCCATTATGGTGTCTCCATGTATTATTGTTGTTTCTGCTACACTAAATTATTCAGCTCTCGTCTCATATCACTGATTGCGATATCATTGTTTCCATTACCTTTCAAATGATACTAACGATAAACCATAATCGTACGTCTGACTTTAACGGCACGGTGCTGATAGATACTACATCCCAGATTAAGTGTACCAATTTGATTGGACCAAACGAGACAAGTTGAAAACGGGATAACGAAATTGATCTTCAGATGATTTACTAAAATTCTTGGATAGGTACAATGTAACATTATAATGATAGAAGCTTGCCATAATAATGGGGAACATCCAATCCTATATTAGGAGATAATCTCAAATCTTCCCCTCTAAAGATAAATAAAATATTTGTCATTAACTCTAAATAATAATTCACAAAGTAACTTTTATTGGTTAATCCATGTGTTTAGTGATATCAGTAAATTTTTCTTTTTTTAGTTACAAATATTTTCAATTGAAATCAATTTTACTTTAATTTAACATATGGTCTTTAACATTTCATAAAGTTACATCGTCTACTGGTGAAAACTAGAAGGAAGAGAAACGTGAAATAAGCACAAAACACTTTTAGATAACTTAGTACTATTATTTTACATAAATAGATGTCCTGCTCTCAAATAACTGGGCGGGAATACACAGACAGATCATTGGATCTTTAAATTTCATATTGCCAGCAAACATATTAATAAAATATATTACAGAAAAGAGGGGCACGGGATAAGGTTTCGGCACATTCAACTCATCATCCCAAACCGCGTTACTCATTTCCGTGCTTTACTTGTACTCCATGATCATGTTGTTCTCAGGAGCCAATCCAACACAAGCTCTCAGGATGTTCTCCAGCATAGCACGCTGCTTTGACAATGCATTCACCACTGGTGTGCCTGGTGGAACCTGTAATTGTTGCCCCCAAATTAATTATTAGTCATGGAACCTTCAAGAAATTTATATATAATGTAGAACATGAGAGTAAAAAATGTGAAAAATCATTGAACAATAATGAATCAACTTACAAGTGGGGCCTTGGTCAGGTAACTGAGGATGGTTGCAACCGGGTGGAATGAGTGAAACTTGCCCTGTTAAAACAATCATGTTTTATGCATTAGAAATTAAGTTGAGAATAGCAAAAGAGTGTTCTTGGACATCAATATTTGAAGAAATGAAATAATTAAGCAACAGATAACAGACCTCGTGCTCAGCCTTAAACTGGATACGAGCACTGAGCTCAGCAAGAAGGACCAAGTCTAAGATAATAGGGGCAGCTAACAGTGAATCCTCACATGTGTTGTGCAACACGATTGTGCTCTTTCCACCCATGAATATCTCTGAAGTGTATTCATCCATGGCCCTCTTGCTGTCCCCCACGTAAGGCACATACTGCAAAACCAACAAATCAAAGAGTCAAGTAATTATTATAAACAACGTATGGAAAGAGAGAAAGTGAAATAAAAATAAAATATATTACCTTAATAACAACGACATGGTCTGGATGTTCGCCAGGCTCATAGAGAATGGCATTGCTATTGACCATGTCGTCAACAACGTTGCTCTTTGAGATTTCCTTCGAGCGGAAAGTTTGAGGAGCTGAAAGATTCATACCATCGTTGTTTCCCAGATGGTTGTAACTCACTATTGATGTTGGCTGTCAGGCATCACAGAGACAATTATATAACATCAATTTAATATTCCTTTTTATTTTCTACATCATATATAACACTTATCTTTACTTCATCTTAAGTGAATAAATAAAAATTTATCTATAAAAAGTAAATATATTTTTAATAAGTATTTTAATATTTTAACCACTTAAAATAAAGTTATTTATCATGTGGGATAATTTAAATAAATTCATAATATTGTATCTTAAATCATTAATAAAGGTATCACTGGTGATATTAATTACTTTACGTTTAAAAAACTAAAAAAGTACCTTGATACCCGCCCCCACAAGGAAATCCACCAGCACAGATTTCATTTTGGTCTGTCCACTCTTGAAGTCATCTCCTCCGATCAAACTGTTCCTCTTGATGGCAAGGTCAATAAGCCCTGATGAAAACACAACCAAAGTTCACCAATTTAATTATTTTGCATAAATAAAAAATTAAAACAAGGGACACAATTGAGAAAATAATAAACCTGGGACAAAGGTGTTCTGGGGGCTTCCGTTGATGAAAGGAATATTTTCCAAAACGCAAGCAATGGCAAACAAGGTGGAAGGAGAAATCTCAGCCTCGTTCCTGTCCAAGGAAGCCAAGAGGTTTTCCATGGTGTCGTTTAGTCCCACAACTATGTTGCTGTACCTCTCTGTGTTGGCTGTCCATAGGACAACCACCTTGTCAACCTTATTGCTTTCCTTAAACTCCCTATATTAATAAAACACATATATAAGATAACAGATTCGGTAAGTTTCAAACTCAATAAGGTGGTACCTACTATATATGGATCAACGTTGGACTTACTTTATGTCTTTAATGATTTGTTGAACTTGTTCTTTCTTTGTGCCCTTGATGACGTTGTTGGCGCGGTCTCCTTGGTTGGCAGCAATGAAATCAGGGTCATAGATTCCGGGGAGTGGAACCATGGATTCCATGTAAGGCCTCAACTGTTTCTGCAGGTCGATGTCAAACACCTTAGCTCTCCCCATTGCATCAGCCAGGTTCATGTTACTGATATCCCACCCACCAAACACAATGTCATCAGGGTTAACCTGCAAAAATTTTAGTCAGAATTACTCAGCAATATTCTCGATCATATTCATAACATGCATGTTTACTTTTTAACATCTAATTAATCTGTTCAATTCAGAATAATTGTAGACTCCCTTTATTGTTTTTGAGTGATTATTTTAATAATTAAATGGAGGAGATTCAGTGACGAACCCAGAGAATTTTTCTTTTAATAAATCGGAACTTTTAAGTAGTTGGAACAAGATAATATCTCTAGTCATGATGTAAAAAAAGAAACAATAGATAATAGGGACAAATATTAAATATAATGAGACTTAAACGATAACTTCATGTTATAAGTGAAATTTTATTTATGTAGCTCTTTTCTAGAACTAAGAGAGAAATAGGGAAAATGAAAAAAAAAAGTGATGTGATAAAAAAAAAGATTGAAAATAAAATATTAAAAAATATATATATGTAAGAATAATATAATTCATACTATAACAATATTAAAAATAAATGAATTTGAGTGGTGGTTTGTTAATGTTTGTCAGATTGTATAAATTACATTCGTCTAGATTATTTATTACATATTTTTATGTTTTAAAATATTAAAATGCAACTCATTTAATACTTATTTATTGAATATCAAAATATTAAAAAACTTGGCATTATTCATCTCACATCATCATTATCTTTTTTCTCTTCTCCGTGACCCACATCTTACTTTGTGAACCTTTCTGTGAGACTTTTTCCTTAAAAAGAATCATTCCTCAAGCAATTAAACACACGGGACAAAGGAAAAAAAAACTTTTTAAAAAAGAAATGTGGGCTGGATCGTAAAAGGGTTCAATTTTGCTGTACCTTTCCAGGCTTCTATTTTAAAATTGTATTATTATTATTATTAATTTTATGCACAATTTAAGAGAGCCTTAAAAAAATTATCTAATCAAAATTAAAATTTTATCTTAGTAATTTGTCATCTTTTAATATATAAATTACTAAGATAATTTTTTTAATTAAAACATAGCACCATAGTTCCTTCTGATATCTGAGTTTAGTTTTATGAATTTCGCTAATAAAGTTGATGGTGAAAAACTAAAAAATAAAAAATATATTCAAAATGACATTAAAAAACAATCGGTCTACACTTTCTTTAAATTTTTTTTATCTATTATTAACTCTTAATATTAAAAATAAAATATATTTTATAAATTAATGTGCGCGTTATAAAAAGATTTAATAATTTGGCTTCATTAATTATTTAAACTGTAAAATAATTAATTATCCATCTTAAGATAAAAGCATAAAATAATTAATAATTTTGTGAAGAGTAAAGGGTATCACGAAAAAAAAATTCTTAAACTTTTAAAGCAGCCGACTAAAAAGGACAATTTTTTTCAGAGAGAGACAGATAAAAACGAAGAAGACATTTAATAGTATGTAATACTTTTTCATTATTTAATTAATAGTATTATTTTAAAGTGTGTTTTAATTCTTTATAATTACTAAAAAGGTAATATTTTTTATAAAAAAGAATCGAAGGTATAACTTTTTCTATTTTAAAATTTTGTAATCATAAATATTCAATTAAAAGTACAGAAAAAGAGAAAAGAAAACGACTTGATTCCACCAGAGAGATTGTATACCATTGGAAGCAGGCTCTTGAATGGGGCATAGATTTCCTCTCCTTGGAAAGACCCCACTCTGATAGCTGATGCCTGGGTCAGCGACCCAAAGTAATTGGCTTGTTGAATCTTGTCCTTTGTTGCCCATGAAATGCCCCTGAGATTCATGACACGGTCACCCATAAATTTTATAGCCATTACCATAACCACAAATAACAAAAATCAAAATAATGGTAAGGAAGAAGATGAAATGAAACTCACTCTCGGTTAGCAATAACACCACCAGTGAGGGTTGAACCATTGTTTCCACCCCACCCCACAAGCATTACCCTATTAATAAACAAACAAAAAAACCATATTAATAAAACAGCAAGAAAGAATAATTTTTAAGGATGGGAAAGGGAAGACACGAGATCTTACCCTAATTTAGGGACATGAATGTTGGTTTTAAATTCATATTTGACAGTCTTGGGCTTGACAACCCACTGATAAGTGCCATTCCTGTTCTCGTGAACAAGTTCAGTGGTTTCATAGTTGTACACAGACTCAATCTCAGTCTCTGTGTACTTCACATTAGGACTCTCAACCTTAAAACTCTCGATGAACATTTTTGTTGCTTCTAGGAAATCACTCAAGAGAAATGGAACAACGATGTAAGAAAGCAAGATAGAAAAGCGTTTCAGAGAAGAATGGTTGGTGTGTGCAGCTTCACGTAACCGAAGCAACTTCTATATATAGACCAATTGCGATTCTGTGCTAATGCACGTGTCTCAAAATCAGTGGCTGCCCGTCCAAAGCCCACACAATAATTGTAGAATTTTTAACAACCCTGTCAAGCAGTAATTTCACAACGCAAAATTAAATTTTTTTTCTCATTACATTCAATTTATTTATTTATTTATTTATTACATCATTGATTACATTTTTTTTTATCATACCAATTTTTATAAAAAAAATAATTACATAATAGGAAAATTAATTAAACCATTTTTCACAGGATTCACATTTAAAGATAGAGAAAGATATTTCAAAAATTTCTAAATCGAGTCACTTCTCTAATTCATCTCAGGTCATTTGCAATGGTACATGAATACGTTTTAACAAAATCACCCAAAGCTTTTGAAGCAACGAATGTGTGTTAAAATTTGAAAGTAAATTTAAGTTAAGGAACTCAACTGGCTCGAGTGAATCAAATTCACAATAAATTTGTTTGTATCCCTTAATCTAAAATAGATGTAATTCTTCACAAATAACATATAACAATTAAAAATATGTGACCTTAAAAATTCAATAGTCAATACCATCTATTTAATTACATATATTTTTTATTTCACTTTTGTGTGTGAAAATTATTGTATAAAAATTAAATACAAATATAATTGCTTAAATTTATATTCTTGCATAGTTTTTTTTTAAAAGGGACAAGACATAAATGTAGAATTTTATGTTTTCACTTTGTAGTATTATTTTTCAATTAAAATATGAATTTTATCTTGGTAAGTTATATGTTTAAATTTGGCATTAAAAGTTGATGTAATTTATTAAAGTAAAACTTTAAATTTAAATATCTTGTAAAATAATAAAGCTTTCAATGTTTACAAATTTTCATAATCATTTTATTTATTTTAATATCAAATCTACACAATATTACACTTTTCAATAAAAGAAAATTGATTATTTTTAATCATTAATTTTGGGGAATAGGTAATAAGATCATATATTATGAAAAAGATATAGACATAGCATTTTACACATTATTATTATATGTAAATTTTTAATACCGGAAATTCATTCCTTGTAAATATAATCGTCAATATTAAGTGAATTTTATATCAATCTTACTAATTCAATGCTGTATGAGGGTTTTAAACCATTACTTTCTATTTTCTTGTATGTTACCTTTTCAGTTAATACAAATAATTATTTTTTCTTGATTGAAAAATAAAAAATTGTTTGATTGAATTAAATTTTTAATGACAAATCAATTACTATTATAGAAAATATTAATTAGTATCTACAAATACTATTTAATTAAACAAATTTAACATATTCATTAAATATTTTAAAATATTAAATATTTTTAGGGCTAATTATTAAATTTATTATTTATTTTACTGTTCTAAATTTTACTTAGTAAATTAGTATATTGAAAATAACAAAGGAAATGCTAAGAATAATACAGCATTTATTTTGTTTTGGTTCAACAGAAAATAATAAGAGTTAAATCGCTAACTTTAGTTAACATTTAAGGTGTATTTGGATGAGACACGTAATTAAGTATTTGTTTAATAAATTTATTTTGCACAAAAAATTATAGCATGAATTTAATTTATTAAAATAAATTGAACATTTTATTTTATTTTTTTGCTATTAAAATTTTATTTTATTTTATTAAATTATACTAAAAACTCTTTTAAAATAAACTGAAAAGGCATAGGTTATTTTCCTTCCTTATAATAAAGTATTTCAAAAGCACCAAGATTTTCTCTATTCTATATTTAATGTTAAGTATTAACGATAAAAGTTAGATATAATATTTTAAATGATTTTTTATTATAGTTTAATTAAAATTAAAATTTTATCTTAATAATAAATATTTCATATCATTTTAAAATATTGCAATAAAAATTTCAATAACAAAATAATACTAAAAATACTTAATAATCTGTAACTTTTTTTTGGACGTTAGCAAAGCACCTTGGCCATGCACATGAAAAGGTTTCATGCATCCAACGTTCATTCGTTGTCAGTGGTATATATATATATATATATATATATATATAAAGACATTAAATTAAAAAGTTTTAATACGTTCAAGTTTTGCTTGAAAGTGATTATCAATTTTAACTTTTAATTTAAAAGTTGTAATTTTGAGTGTTAAATTTTACGTTTTATACTTTTAAATTTAAGTAAATTTATATTTAAATTGCTTAAATCATTTCATATTTTACCTTCACACTTGCACGATGTGATAATTGGAGAAAAATAGTGATATTAATCATAATTATTAACTAGTAGGAATCAAAATAATTGTGTAAGCAACAATGATAGTAAAGACTGCGAGAAAAATAATAATAATTGTTATGACAAAAAGATTTAAACGGTGAAGGTAGCAACTGTATATGTTGCATAAGTAAAAATAAAAATAATTGTTATTAAAAGACTACATTTAAAACTAACAAATTAAAAATGAATTAAAGCCTAAAAATGCCCTAAATGTTTTATTGAATTATTAAATCTTTCAGTGTATAGTTTTAAATATTTCCTAATTATATTAAAACGAGGGATAGACTCAGCAAATCATTTACGTAAAAGAGAGTAAGAAAAATATTAATCATTAAATTATATTATTGGTAAAATTAAAATATAAAAAGGTAGAATATAAAATCAAGTAAAATTTTTTTAAAGACACAATAAAAAGTAAAATATAAAATTAAATTTTTATTAATAAAAATCAAGTATTGTGAAATTAAAAGTTGGTTGTAATGCATATTTTTTAATTACATTTAATATCATTAAATATTTTAAAATTAAAGTTAGTTAAAAATACATATTTTATTTTTACATATGATATATTTACAAATTAATATTTATACTTAAAGAAATGTATATTTTTAGTTTATGTATTTAAAAAATTTATATTTTAGTCTTTATACTTAAAATAAAAAATATTTTAGTCTATGTATAAAATATTTTATTACATTTTATTTTTCACCATTAGTATAATAAATTAAAATATAGTAAATAACTTGTATAATAATTAAAATGTAATATTTTTAAATATAAAAAATAATTTACAGATAAGTATCAATGATAAATACTAAATATATAATTTAATAAGTTATTAAATATACAAGCTATCACAATAAAGTGACTCCTCTTATTAGACAAAGAGTTACTTTTTTTACATGATTAGGAAAAGTCAATGTATCTTAATTAAATAATGTGAATGTTATTTATTGTTTAGAGATTTTCACTTTCTATATCTCGTGTTATTTGTCCTAAGGTAATAGTCAGTTTTAAAAAATATATTGATTACAGGGATTACTATAATAAAACGGTTCTCTTTGAATAAAAAACTTTTATTATAAGAATTAGGATGTAATTGTAAACCTATTTATCTATTAGATAAAACACCAATAAATGAAAATTATTGAAAAAAAAGTTAATACTTTTAAGATTTTAAAGTAACAAATATTTTAAAACAAAGTAAGATAGTGAAAGAGACATAATACGATACAAAAGGGAGCAGCACAGTTTAATAAATATTTTTTTGGACCACATATTTTTTTTTTATAGCGAATAATTTTACTCAAACTAAGAATATTCATAATATTGTAAAATTAGTCCTGTTAACAGAACTTTTTTATACACAAAATTTAAACTCAAATTTTTACTTAAAAAATCAAGCATATGTAATTGAACATATTTATGTTAATATATATAAATAGCTTAATTAAATATTGAAAAATGCAAACTGTTGATTTAAGAGTATTAGTCTGTAAATAAAAAAATATTTTTTATTAAAATTATTGTTGATATAGTTTGATAAGAATGTTTAGTATATTCTGAATTATAATTCCAAATATAAAATAAAAAGATTTTTCATAATTTTTGACAATTATTGAAATGTCATATTCACTTTGAGAAACAGAGTCTTAGAAATGTTTGGAATGCACATATCATCATGAAAAAAATGATAAAAAGAAAGTGTTAATTGAATAATTATTGAGTGTGGTGGTGCCTCTAAAAGGAGAGAAAAAAAGAGAAACGTGTGTACGAAATAATTATGGAGAGGAATTTAAAAAGAAAAAGTAAAGATGAAGAAGAGTTGGAAAGTATATACTCGTGGCAGGAGAATGGAGAGCCAAGTATGCGTTGCAATTTGTCGCGGAGAGTGGGTGGGCCTCAAACGTGAAACTGAAAGAAGAGCCTCGAAGAAGGTTACTTAGACAAAGACAAAACCACTGAGCGCGACCCTTTAGTGGACTCGGTAACATGTGTTTTGGACTACTCTGCCTCTACGCTCGGTTGAGGGTCGCGTGGAGACACGCTCGTATATTGTTTGTCGCTCAGGGTCTGACAAGTGGCGTATGGACACGTGGTTCAAAGTGAATATGGGCGTGAATGGGACTGGGTGAAAGGAATTTGGAAGGTGACTCTTGCTCAAATATGACAGGTTGGACCCTCCACCTTGGTCACACTTTTTAACCCTTCTTTCTTTCCGTTCCTGCCATAGTTTCAACTTAGGATAATAATACTAAATGCTACAAATAGTTCTCATACCAAAATTTATCAAAGTATTTTTATGATTTTTCTTATTTTTTATGTTTTATTTAACGAATAAAATACTATCACTTCTCTGTTCGTTTAAATTCGTATCAACTTTGTTTTTTATTATTAAGAAAATTTGCTATTCGAAAAAATAGGAGCTTTAGGCACATATATTTTTAATTAATAATTAAAATTTATAAATGCGTTAAAAATAGTGTATTATTATAATTTTTCTTTCAAAAATAACCATTTCCTTTTTTCCCCTCTACGCCAGACCACTATCATCGAGTACAAGCTTCTTCTCTTAAAATAATACATCTTTCATTTTATGCTAAATGTCATTTAATATTCATTTTTTTAAATTTTTCCGATAATTACCTTCATTTATTATTCTAGATATTTTTAATATTTTATATATTTATGATATATGATTATATTTAT